AAATGCTCATACAGGGACAAAGGAGCTTTGGTGGCATAGTGCCTAAGCCATCTGACTGCTAACCAGAAGGCTGGCGGTTCAAACCCACCAGCAGTTCCACGGACGGAAGATTGGCAATCTATTTCCGCAGAAATTTACCACCTCAGAAACCCAAAGGGGATCCCTATGAGTCAGAATCAACTTGATGGCAGTAAGCTTTTTTTTTTTTTTTTTTTTTTACACAGGGACAAGGTATCTTTTTGGTTCTGAGTTATCTTTGCTCTGTTGGCTCTCACAAACAAATAACTGCCAAGGCTTGACAGCTAAAATGAAAGACCAAATCTAAGTATAAAAAATAGTAAAATGAAAGACCAAATCTACTGTGCTATGTGTTGTCTGCTAAAATACAAAGTCTGTTTCACAGATTATTATGATTACTGATGAATAAATCTAAGCAATAACCCTAGAAAATGAATCATTTTGTTTGCTAGGCATTAGACTTACTATCACTTTTATATCTGTCTGATGAGCAACCAGCACTGATGCAGCAGAGACAAGTCTTTGAGGCCATACAACCACCTTGCATATCATCTTGAGGCAGAGTTAGAAGTGCACATCTGTTTGAAAGACATAAAGCCAACAACTCTCAAGAGGCAAATTTTTGGAGAACACCCAAAAATATGGGACTTGGGAATGAGTTTTGTAGCGCATCAGATTAAGTGACTGAAGTGTGAATACAGCATCTGGCTCAGAGTGAAAGCTTTCATGAATTCCAAGTCTAGCTACATCTTTCAAACCTAAGTACCACTGTTGTTGTTGTTGTCGTTATTTGCCATTGAGTCGGCCCCGACTCATAGCGACCCCTCCTTGGGTTTCCGAGGCAGTATCACTACGGAAGTAGGAATGCCCAACCTTCCTTCCGAGGAGTACCACTAGGACCATGATAAAATCTCTCCCACCTTTGAAGTCATCATACTTATTCTATTGTACTCATACTATGTTTAATCAAGTATTACTTTGCCTTATCACTCCTTATGCTGTTTTATAGGAGCTCTGGTAGCACAGTGGCTCAGGCACTTGACTGCTAACCAGAAGGCTGGCGGTTCAAACCCACCAGCCACTCCTCAGAAGGAAGATGGGGCAATCTACTTCCGTAGTGATACTGCCTAGGAAACCCAAGGAGGGGTCGCTATGACTCGGGGCCGACTCGAAGGCACGTAACAACAACAACAACATGTTGTTTTATATAGCTTGTTAACTCTGATGTTGCATACAAACTCTTAAACTGAACTGTAAACTCTGAGACCACATACAGAATTACAGATTACAGTTCTTCTACTAATTCTCAAATCTAGCTGAGAGCCCTGCACAAAAAAGCACTCAAATATATGGCAAACATTAAAATGAAGAAAAGGCCCACAGAAAAGGAGAAAAGTAATGCAATTAATAGAAAACTACTTAGACTTGTTCATCTGACTCCAAATTATGCTAGAATTGTTAGCAGACCAATTTTCTTCTGGCACTCAAACAAAAAGTAGCAAAATGTCAGAAGCAAACAATCTGTATAGCAAGGCAATCTCAAACACTTCCATTTTATCCAAATGATTGAACAAATACTAATAAGAGGACATGTCAGACATTAAAGTGAAACTCTTTGCAGCAATAAACAAATGTTTATCTGGTTATAAATTAAAATTTTGTGTGTTGAGAAACATACACATTCATTCGGATAGTATTAAAAAATAGGACTTGAGTAGAAAAATCCAAGAGTTTATTGATTCGATGACAATATTTAGTTTTACAAAGGGGACTGAGGAACAGTCCAGAGAAGGTAGTTATTCAGGAAAGTGGTCAGGGAAGAGGCTGAGGTAGGACTCAGCTTTCTGATGCCTTAGCCTATGTTACAGATTTAATATGATGAGATGAAGGCTGCTACAGCAACACCTCGAGACTATTTGGTAAAGGGAAAGTTTTCAGGAATACTACTGAATCTCTTTCCCCCTTTTGAATATAGAAGAGATTTCTTCCTGAATTTTCATAATTAAATATTTCATAGGTATTTCAAATATATTAGACCACAAATGTAACGAACTCACATGGTGTTCCTGCTCTAACATTCACTTTACATTTACACAAGCTACATTATTGGTACCCAGTTTCTCATTGTCCACATTGTACAGCACTACTTTACCTTTATTTTGTAAAATTTAAAGCAAAAAAGATTACTAAATTTCTGTTTTTACAGTTTTCATCAACCCAATAAAGTGTAAGAGAACTCTGAATTACTTGTTCTAAACAGGCATTTCAAATACTAGGATCTAAGATTGTGTTTTCAGGGGTTTGAGATTCTCTGAGAATTCTTTTTGGCGTGTGTTTTCTATTTTCATCAACATAATCTGGGTTACATGGACCTCCACCTCATAATTGTTTAAGACTATGATTTCAGTGGCCACATTCACTTCTTCGCTTAAGATTACATTCATACTGAATCTCCTAAATGGTGAAAATTTCATTTTTAATGCCATATTTTTCAAACTATTCTAGATTTTAATATCCAAAACTTTTTCTAGCTTTATTTGGTAAATTTAATAAACATGTATATGTAGTCACTTGATATACAGTAGTGAATAAGACAGACCTGAAGCTGTCCTTATGAAGCTTATAATTCTAGTAAGAAAGACTAACATCATTAATGGAGAATTTGGATTCCTTAATTGAAGTCACTGAAGAAGTAGAGCAGGAAACTCTGGTGGCATAGTCAGTAAGGCATTTGGCTACTAACCAGATGGCTGGTGATTCAAAACCCACCAGCTGCTCAGTGGAAGATGAGGCAATCTACTTCCATAAAGGTTTAAAGCCTTGGAAACCCAACGGGGGTCATTATGAGTTGGAATCCCCTTTAGGGCAGTGGGTTTGGCGTCCCACCCCACCCCCGAAGCAGAGTATCTTTTTTTAAATAAAGCAGTTATCTGTCCTGCTTGTTAACTGCTACTGGTCATAGTAGTTTATAGTCAGATATTGTCTACATATTCTCAAAATAGTCTAAGAACTTGAGGTCACCTTGGCCTTATCTGTCTGGAGACAAGTAAATTGATCCGCCTCTTAAAATTCTTCAGAAAAGTCAAATCGCCTTTTCTTGTTTTAGGTTATTCTTCTCATAACTGGACAATGAGGCAATCCAAACAGATTACTCTGGTCATTTAAGAAGCAATTTTATGGAATGATTTATGTTACATAAGGTTTTATAAGCACACTTTTTCTCTCTGGTGGTGTAATTTCTATGGATAAAAATCAGTCAAGCTGAAACAAATGTTCATGGTACACATCTAAACTCAACAAAAATTCATAGATAAATGTTAAACAGCACAGTGCAAAAACTCTCCCAAAACTTTAAGAACTTGAATAAAGGAATGAAATTCAGAAAACAGTAGCTTATTACTGTCTATTAGCTACTATAATGACATCCTCATTAAAAATGGAGGAAGGGTGCATAGGAAGTCCCAAAGATATACGTAATCAAGTAAACTAATTTGATTTTGTATTTGAGAAGTGGGTACCAAATCTCTTGAACCATAGTTCCTCCTGCCCTAGTGTGGTGGATTCACAGAGACTTGACAGGACAAGTAGAACTGCCCAATGGGGTTTCCAAGGCTATAATCTTTAAGGAAGCAGATTACCACATCTTTCTCCCACAGAGCTACTGGTGGGTTCACCGTGCCAAGTGCTTTAACCACTGCACCACTGGAGTTTCCTGAATAGTAAGTTTGAAATATCCTAGTTTCTGGACCAAATTTTCTAAACAACAATGTCCCCAGATGAATACTACTAGAGCCAAGACCATACAAACTTTGGTGCAATATCTCTCTGCAAATAATACATACAAGAAAAACTCCTTTACTGTGACCGTGATTGTTCTTGTCAAAGTTCCCGAAGAAAGTGTCACCCTACCAGAAAGGAAGTACAAAGATACTATGAATAGGAACAGGAAGTTATTTTAGTGAAAATTAGAAGAATCCTTTCCAAAATCTAACTCTAGCAGACACTCTGTGATGAAGGAACTAGCTTAACTAAAATACAACTCCATATCTGCCAATAACACACATTTGAATGCCTAGATTACAAATCAGTAAAAAACCGCAAAATGGCCCCGACAGCTGGTAAAATTTCTAGCCCAAATCAAGCCTCCGCATTTAAACATTCAGATGTACAAGGAGAGCCAGATGCAACTGAGAGCTTTACTTGTCACCACATCCGGCACAATAACTCAGGCAAGGAAAAACTGGCTTTCAAGAAGGAATCTCATCAGAAACAGAGCAGGACCTCAAGCCAATCTAACTCTGGAAGCATCAATGCTACAAATTAAAGACCAACTCTCAGCTAGGGTACCTTTCATTGTGCCCACCAACTCCACGATGATAACACACAATCGGTCTGCAATCAACCCTTCACAGTTCTCCAAAGCATCTCAAAGTCTTACTCATCCTTCGTAGCTGAAGTTGGAAGCAGGGCGAATGACACAAAAGCCAATCGTCCGAAAGCGCTTTTCGTACAGCTCAGTCACCGTCACTCATTGAAAATTCCTAAACTAGGGGCTCACAACCCCCCTCTTCTGCCCTTCCTCAATCCCGCCCCAGGCCGGTAAGCCTCAGCCTGAAAGCCCCTCGGCTCGAACAAAGCGAGGGGCCCCGGCAGTGGGGAGCGAGAGGCGCAGGCAGCACCGGGACTGCAGCACAGCGCACAATGAGAAACTACCAACTTCAGAGCGCAGGAACATCGTCAATTGGCAAGAAAAAGGGGCGGCGGCAGGCACGCCCAACTTCAAACTCAGGAAACCTACGGGCTGGCGGCCATCTGGAAAAAAGCCCCTTTCCCAGGGAGAGAAGAAAAAGGCGGAGATGCGAATCGCCCCCCTGGGCCCCGGAGGGGGAGCCCTGTTCTCAGATCGGTCCCCGCCCCCGAGGCCCACTTCCCCGCCTTCTCTCTGCCTCTGGTTCGCTGCCCCAAGCCGGGCGGCCGGTTACCTTGATCCGCTCCCGGCACTGAGACGGGGTCCGCTCGTAGCCCAGCTCGGCCAGAGCCCGGGACACGCGCTCGTACATGGCTGGCCCGGGGGCCTTGCTGCCGAACACCGTGCCAGCTCCCTCCAGCTGCTGGTACCGCGCCTCCACCAACCGCTCGTTGCCCCACACTGCGATGAGCGCGTTCGTCTCGGCGGGCGTCCACGACATGCCCCGGCAGGCAGCTGCCGACGCAGCCCCACCACCGCCGCCACCAGGGGAGAAGGAGACGGAGGACGAGGCGGCGCTGCGGCCCCCCAGCCCCAGCCCGAGACCCCCGGACGCCGCTGCCCCCGAGCCCGCCGCACTGCCCGGCCCAAGCGGGGAGGCACCCCGAGGCGTGGACGGGTCGGACAACGAGGGATTTCCATCGCTTAGGCCACCAGGAGAGGCCGGAGAGAGCACCTCCATCTTCGGAATTTTTAGCGGCGAGTTGGCGGGCAGCTCCGAGCCACAGGGCGCAGCCATCTTCCAAGCGGCCGCTGCTGCACCGCCCGGAAGTGACGCGCCGGCGCATCCGGCCACCGCGGTCTCAGGGGCTGTTCTCGGGCCTGGTTTGCGGGTAGGTGGGTGGCTACCCACTCCTGGTGCAGAGGATAAGGCTGAGATGCTGGGCTCTTCCGCTCTCCGCAGCCTTTCTCCGCGAGCCCTCCCGCGCCGCCCGCACCTCCCCCGGGGTGGGGGGCGGGAATGGGGCGCGCCGAACCCCGGAGCTGAGGAGAAGGGTGGGGGCATGAGGGCGCTGGTGTGAGGAACAGATTCGAGCCTTCTCACTTCCTCTACTATCTCAACCTCCAGGAGGAGGGGTGAAGCCCGCGAGGAGGCTCGGAGTTAAGGAGGAATTGACCATTTCGCTCTCTTCCCTTCTTTTGGTCTCTCTTCGTTGATATAGAGGCTGACATCCAAATTGGAGGTTGGAGAAACTTGCCGAGTGAGGGTATATCCAGGATGGGGCCAATGTTAAATGGGTAGCCTTTCTGGGGAAAGTTTAAAAAAGCAGATAGGGGCCAGTGTTCGAGTTCGTATGCTATAGCTTTTCAAGAAATCCTGGACCATTATTTAATAATAGCAATGCTTTGGTTCCAGTTATGATATATTGTTTTCTAGTTAGTCTGGGTATGTATGACCGTTTATAGAAGAATTAAATGGCTTTGTTGCATTTGTATGGTTTGAACCTGCAAGAAGTGTGAGCCCAGCAGAAAAGTTACTTCCCAGTAACTTCAAAATCCGTTTCTGATTTGGAAGTTACATAGTTTTGCCAGTTTTTCATACCTATGAGTATAAGCAACGAGCCCTGGTGACGCAGTGGTTAAACCACTCAGCCACTAACCAAGTTTGGCTGTTCTAACCCACCAGCTGGTCCACAGGAGAAAGATGGTGGCAGTCTGCTTCCAGAAAGATTTATGGAAACCCTATGGGGCAATTCTGCCCCATCCTAATAGGGTGGCTTTGTGTCGGAATCCACTCCATTTTGCAATGAGGTTTTGTAGAGTATGGTGACTGTCAGTTATGACAGCTCTTGTGACCTCTGGCAGTAAATTAGCATATTAGTCACCCCTGAAAGCACCTTAAATCGCTGGAACATAATAAACATTAGGACACTTGCCATTTGATTGTGACCCCATGTGGTACCAGTAGAACTCCATAAAGTTTTATTGGCTGTAATTTTTACAGAAACTGATCACCAGGGTTTTCGGTGAAGGTGCTGGTGCCACTGGGTGGGTTCCAGCCATCAACTTTTAGGTTACCAGTTGAGCAAAAACTTCAAAGCTGAAAACCAAATTGTTCAGCTTGGATCTTTATTTTTAAAACTTCAATACCCCACCCCCTAAAAAGCAGACTTGTAACTGAAGCAGCTGGCCAATGATTGTAAATAAATTCCAACCAAAACCAATTCACTTCATATGGTCCATTTTGACTCATAGCAACTCTATAGGACAGAGTAGAACTGTCCCCATAGAGTTTGCAAGGCTGTAAACCTTTATGGAGTAAGACTGTCTCATCCAGGTTCCAACTGCTAACGATTTGGTTAGCAGCCAAATGCTTTAACCACTGCTCCACTAGAGCTCTGTAAATAAATTATGCAGTTGTTTTCTTTTTTT